CTTAGGGTCTCTTTTTCTCTCTCTCCCCCAGGGCCGATTTCTCTGGGGGCTGATGACAAAAATTCACAAAGGAGACTGAGAAGGAAGCCCCCAGGGATGCAGAGCAAACCCTGGAAAGAAGGCAGGAGGCCCAGGGGGTGGCTAATAATGATGAGTTAGGGACCCAGTGCCTGCACTGGATTCAGCAAGGTTAGAAGTCCACTGTGACCACAGCAAGGGCTCTTCCCCAGAGGACTGAGGTCATTTTCTGTGGACGGAGGAGGAAGTAGGAGCTGGGAAAGTGGAGGCAGCAAGTAAGGCTAACTCATTCCAGAAGTTCCGAGGGGTCAGGGAGAGGAGATGACAAAGCAGTAACTAGAAATGCAAAGAGGGCCAAGGGGTGGTTGTACTTTTTAGGATAGAGAGACTCGAGACTGTTATGGGCTGATGGAGGGACTCAGAAGAAAGTTAGAGGAGGAGGGACAGAGTGGGGCCTTGTGGAGCTGGGGCTCGGAGCCACTGAGAGGAGTAAGGAGGTGAGGGTTGGAGCAGCGCTTTTCAGATTTTGACATGAAATCACATTTCAAATTTCCCCTCCTCTATCTCCCCCGCCACCATCCTGGCCCAAGATATCTCACTAGGCCACCTGACCTGGCCTTCAGACACTCCACTTTTGGTTTAGGCTTGATGCTACAGAGGCCAGGAGGGCACTAAACTGACTTGAAGAAGACAGAAATGGCCAGTGGTCTCTGGAAGTTGGGGATGAGGCAGTGGGAGTCAGAACGTGGGCAGCCTGCCAGAGGCCTCTGTGCCTTGATTGAGGTTGGAACCTCAGGGAGGTGTTCAAGGTGTGGCCCTGGAGAGGACAGCTGCAGTCATGAGGAAGGCCACTGGGGAGGTCAAGCAGGATACTAAAGGGTCATTCACACGGATGAGCAGGACATTAGGACAAAAATCCAAATCCTGAATGGATGAAGGAAGGCCACAAAGATGAAGATGATGAAGAGGGTGAGAGTAGAACCAGGTGGCAGGAATCTTGGAGGAGGAAAAAGTGATAAATGATATATACACATAGGAAAAACCAAACCAAACCAAAAACCCTCCAAAAAGTGAGTGGTGGGGGCTGGGGATGTGGCTCAAGCGGTAGTGTGCTCGCCTGGCATGCCCAGGGCACTGGGTTCAATCCTCAGCACCACATAAAAATAAAATAAACATGTTGTGCCCACCTAAAACTAAAAAATAAATATTAAAAAAAAGTGGTGGTGGTTATCCATGGTGGGATAAAGGATATGGGTAACTCTGATTTCTTCTTTACACTTTCCTGAGTTTTGCCACCAAGTTTTCTATAGTGAGTCTTTCTTGTTTGTTTTTTAGAAATGTAAAAGTAAGAAAACCAACATAACAAATGCCCCAATTCACACTGTCCACAACTTGTGATTGTAAACATATTAGTTTAAAAAATTAGTTTAAAGGCTGGGGGTGTGGCTCAGCGGTAGAGCACTTGCCTAGCATGTGTGAGGCCCTGGGTTTGATCCTCAGCACCACATAAAAATAAATAAACAAAATAAAAGTATTGTGTCCAACTACAACTAAAAAATAAATATTAAAAAAATTAGTTTAGGGCTGGGGATGTGGCTCAAGCGGTAGCGCGCTCGCCTCGCATGTGTGCGGCCCGGGTTCGATCCTCAGCACCACATACCAACAAAGATGTTGTGTCCGCAGAGAACTAGAAAATAAATATTAAAAAAATAAAAATAAAAAAATTAGTTTAACCCAGGCACAATGGCACACACCTGTAATCCCAGCAGCTCAGGAAGCTGAGGCAAGAGGATCATGAGTTCAACGCCAGCCTCAGCAACTTAGTGAGGCCTGGAGCAACTCTGCAAGACCCTCTCTAGGGGCTGGGGATGTGGCTCAAGGGGTAGTGCGCTCGCCTGGCATGCGTGCGGCCCGGGTTCGATCCTCAGCACCACATACAAACAAAGATGTTGTGTCTGCCGAAAACTAAAAAATAAATATTAAAATTCTTTCTCTCCTCCTTCTTTCTTAAAAAAAAAAAAAAAGACCCTCTCTATATATTAAAAGGGGCTAGGGATGTGGCTCAGTGGTAAGTGCCCTGGGGTTCAGTCCCTGCCACCAATAATAAATAAATAATTAGTTTAGAGAGATAACCACCCCCTCTTATCTTGGACAAGCATGGTTAGTTGAATTTAGTTTCATGTACATGTACATACATGCATGAAATAGAACATGGTGTGGTTATGAGATGATTTTACTTACATGGGGAAAGGGTTCTTAAAATGAGGTGGGGAACTTTTTAAAGTGAGGAGGGGTTGTACACAGACTGACAGCCTGAACCCGTACCTCTCCAGCACAGCTCCACTGGGAAGGCCACACCTGGAAAGACCCAGCTCCAATTTAAGTACACTGGGCCACACCTGGTCGTTAAATGTTCCAGGAAGAGAGAGGAGTGCTACTTGTGTTTCTCTGGCTGGGTTTCAACCCACTTTCACATCGCTCAAGTTATTAATGCCCCTGAAACCCAGAAAGCCCGAAAGGCAAATCGTTATCCCCAATGGACAGTTAGGAGAACTGAGGTGGGGAAGAGCAGGGAATGACCAGAATACCACAGTAAGTTGGTGGAGAATAAGGAACTAGAGCTCTGGCCCAGGCCAGTGCATGGACAGGTGGGGCAGAGGCAAGGGCCACGGGTGGCAGGGACTGATGGACTTTGACCACCTGGCAATAAGGAAAAGAAATGGCAATAACTTCAGCCTCTGAGGTTGGCTGATGGCCGGGAAATGATGTTTTGGAGAGAATCAGGTGAAACAGTTCTTCCTCTTTAGAGGCCCCATAGAATAGGCACAGTTTTGGAGGCTCTCTGCATTTCCAACATACCCTCAGAAGTTAGGACCTGCTTCAAGATCAGGCCTGGATTCAGGTCTCAGCTCTATCATTGATATATGTCATATTATCCTGGAAAAGTTATTCACTTTTCTGGGTCTCCATTTTCTCATGGATAAAATGGGGGTGTTTTGTTGTTGTTGTTGTTGTTGTTTTGTTTTGTTTTTAACACTCCAGGTATACAAAGAGAGAACCATTATCTGTGCTTCTGGAGGCAAAAGCACTCAATGTGTCCAGATGGGCTCAACGTCAAGGGGATTGTCCAACACTGATAGAGAAGCCACCTGCATGTGTATACCTGAGATGTGACACCAGCTTTGCAGTGACCCTGGGGAGGTGGAGTTTGCCATCAGAAAGCTGTTGGACGAGTGGTGGCAGGGTGGTAAGAGTAAAGGGCCCATTTTTTTTTTTAAGAGAGAGAGAGAGAGAGAGAGAATTTTTTTAATATTTATTTTTTAGTTTTCGGCAGACACAACATCTTTGTTTGTATGTGGTGCTGAGGATCGAACCCGGGCCGCACGCATGCCAGGCGAGCRCGCTACCGCTTGAGCCACATCCCCAGCCCATAAAGGGCCCATTTTTTAAAAAATTAGATAAATAGATATTTAAATATATATTTAAATATTTATTTATTTATTAGTTGTAGGTGGACACAAACCTTTATTTTATTTTTATGGGATGCTGAGGATCAAACCCAGTGCCTCATGCATGCCAGGCAAGCACTCTACCTCTAAGCCACAATCCCAGCCCAAGGGCCCATTTTCTTAAAAAAACAAAAGCAGCATATGAACGATTATTCATTGTAAGATTCCAACACCACCAAGTGTGAAATAAAAAAGCAAAATCCTCCCCTTTCCCCCTCCCTTGGTTGTCACTTTGGTAGTTCCTTGCTGTTAGGAACAGCTGCACTGTTCATAACATTGTTCCAGACAGATGACCTGGAAGCCCAGTACTGAGGGGCTCCTAGCCTGGCCTGATGGTGGCAGTGATCTGGTGATTCTCAAGGGGGTTTCCCCAGGAGAAATGGCTCCCCTCCCTCCTTTGGTGTTCGTGTGTTTCCCAAACTCCAGAAGCTCCCTGCACTGACCCAGGTGACACACTCGGTGCACAGTAAGTGACACTACAGGAAAGGAACACCTAAGACATCGGGATAGCCCCTGCCATCAAGGCCACTGACCAGTGGGTGGGGTCACAGGCAGGGAACAGATGCCATCAGGTGTCAGCAAGTGCCTCCAGAGGTCTGCCTCAAAGACCTAGGGAGTCCACATAGGCAGCCACAGTACTGCCACTTTGGAGAACTTGGGCTCAGAGACCTGGATGGGAATCCTGGCCAGGTGGCCTAGGGTGAGTGATTAGCCCTCTGAACCCAAAGGAAGGGAATCACCTGACTAACAGGGAGTCTGAGAATGGCACAAGGACACCTCCATCCATGCTGGCACATTAAAGGGGCTCAGTAACCCACAACCAGGATTAGTAAAGCTTCTAATATGTATCCTGCCAGATCTGTGCTTTGTCCACAAAGACACTCTAGGGAGTTTCTAAGACATTTTCTTAATTTTGTATCTCATTTTGTTTCAGACAACCTCAAGGGACAGGAATTATCATCCCTGACTTTTGAAGGAGGGCACAGGAACCTGAAGACAGATGAGGAAAGCACCTTGCTCAGCCCGAAAGACTAAACTCAAAGAACAGGGCTGTTCTTCATCTGGTAAAAGTAGGTCCCAGGGAGGAAAAGTCATTTGCCTGAGGTCACACAGCAGGCCAGGGACGGACCCCGGTCCCCTAGGCTTCTCTCTTTCACCACCCTCCCCATTCCCAGCCTTCCCCCGGGCGTTTTTTCCGTCCAGGTGCCCATCGGGGCACCATAACCACAGCTGACACCACTCACGCCCTGGCAGGGGCTATAGCTGCCCCTCTGAGTCTCAGTGTCCCTCCGTCAAGGGGGCATCACCGCGGAGGCTCCGGCTGAGCGCAGGGGCATCGGKGTCGCCGCAGGGCGGGGCGGGGCGGTGACTCAGCCTAGCGAGGCTGCGGAGCCGGTCGGACCAGCTGGTGCGAGCGCACCCAGGCGGCTGGGGGTGCAGGGAAGGGAGGCCGCCYGGGGACGGAGCGCGGCTCGGGCGGGAAGTGGGCGCGGCGCGGCTCCGCAGCGCGCACCGGCGGCGGCGGAGAGGATGGGAGCCGAGCGCTCCGGCTGCCGGCAGCTTCTGGATCCCCGCTGACGCCGGCCGCGGCGACCCGCGCGGGAGCGACATGTGTCTGCGCCTGGGTGAGCGGCACCGGGTGGGCGCGAGAGGCCCAGACCCTGCTGCGGGGTGGGGCTCTGTAGGGAGAGCCGAACCGGGCCAGGCCCACCGCTCCGCCTCTAACTCACTTGGCGGCCTGGGCACGTCACTTTTCTTTCAGGGCTTCAGTTTCAGCGAGATGGAGGAAGGAGGGCTGCCGGGTATGTCTTAATGTGGCCCGAAGCACCTCGGGCCCCTTGACACCACTTTCGTTTCTGAGTGGCATGAATGCTCACAGGACACCCTGGTGGCAAAAAATACGCTGGAGAGACCAGAGAGAGGGAAAGCAGGGCCCTGGGCTCTCACTTCTATACCCTTCTGTCCCCCACCACGCTTGGAGGGAACAGTGTGACAAAGGATCATCACAGAGGAGAGGACTGTGTGCCCCTCCCCCCGCTGCCTGGGCACTGCGATGCTGCTCTTAGGCAGTCCTGGGGAGTCCCCACAGGACACATTGTGAGCCTCTTTTTTGCCTCATCTGTAAAATAGGCCAGTAGCACCCACCTCCTAGCCTTCTATGAAGATAAACTTAGCTCCAAGAGTGAAGTGTTTAGCACTGTGGACTATCACATTGCTAAATGCTCCCAGAATGGTAACTTGGAAATAAAGCCAGGAACTGCCCTGAGACTCCCAATCCAGGGTTCCAGGCCCAGTCCCGGGCTGGCACTGTGCCTCTTGTTTAACCAAAGTCTTGGTCCTGGGATGCTGTTGTTATTGAGTGCAGCCCTGAGCTGCCGTGGTGTCTGGGCTGCCAGGTAGGCAGGTGGGTGGATGGGGTGAGGTGGAGCAGGCCCCCACAGTGAAGCTGCCATGCCCCTTTCTGTTTGGCTGGCCATTCTTCTTCACCAGGTCATTCCAGTTCCACAGTGCCCAGCCAGTCCATCATCCATTCTTTACTTCCTAGACCTGGTCCAGCCCTAGAGGACTCTACAGGCTCCAGGAGTCTCAGAGCCAGCTAGACCACCCCTCTTTTTCTTATACTTGGGAAATCTGGAGCCAACAGAGGGGAGGGGCCCATGCTCGGTCACAGGGAGTCTGTGACCTCCCTGTTCCCTGGTGAGGATTGCCTCTTTGCACAGGATCACAAGCACAGCCAGCCTAGTGGTTGCTTTTTCCTTTCTTCTTTTTCTCTTTTTTTAAAAATCTAGTTGCAGAACTCCCATACGTGAAATATGATCAACCCTCTTTGTCACAGATGGGGAGACTGAGGTTTAGGAAGGGTCTCAAAGTCAGATCCCATTAGGAGCAGCTAAAGGAAGGGGCTGTTTAGTTCTGGGAACTGATCATAGTCTTCCAGTCTCTCAGAGGAGACTGGCAGGACCAGGGAACCAGCTTTATGTGTGTCCTTTAGGGCAGCGTCAGGAGCCAAGGAGGACATTGCAGAGAGCACCTCTAGAATAGCCTAAGCTGTCTGAGGAGTGGGCTTCCTGTTCCTGGGATGTGATGATAGGAGCAGCAGCCACATGGCCAAAGAGAATTTACATTTGGTCCCACCCCCCCCACAGCCCTGCCTAGTGCTACTCTGCGCCAAGAGCTTGCTTTTCCCAGAGCCCCAGAGTTTGACCCACTTTCCATCTATCTCATGTATCTCCTGCACTGAGAGACCAGGGTTCTTCTTCCTATTTTACAGATGGGGAAATGGAAATTTAGGGGCTTTAGTTATTTGCCCCAGTCACTTGACTCTAGGCAGTTCAGTTCAGCAATTGTGTTGAGTACCTACTGTCTACCAAACTGAATACCGAGCAGGGCCTGATCCCTGCCGATGGCCCATAGGCTCCATGGAACCTGGACAATGACTGTTGAGCTCACTGTGGTAGCCCAGGGCCTGGAACAGTGGATAGGATGTCAATGGAAGGGTTAGGGAGCTGGAGTTAGAGATGTGACCTTGAGCCCTGCTGCTCATGACCTAGAGTGCTAACAAGGATAACTCTCCTTTGGTAAGTGCCCCCTGGTTGCTTTTCCAGCCTTACAGTCCCAGGACTCACAAATGAATCATGAACCCCTATTACAGAGGAGGAAACTGAGGCTCAGAAATGTCAAGGTACTGCCTCCGAGTCATCCAGAAATAGATTTAGGACCCAGTGTCCATCACTCCAKGGTTAGGTTTACTCCTCTGCCTAGCAGAGTAAGTCTCACCCATGTCTCTGTCCCCCACAGGTGGCCTGAGCGTGGATGACTTCCGGAAGGTGCTAATGAAGACAGGCCTGGTGCTGGTGGTGCTGGGCCACGTCAGCTTCATCATCGCCGCTGTGCTGCATGGCACGGTGCTGCGCTATGTCGCTGCCCCCCGGGATGCTGTGGCTCTTCAGTATTGCGTGGTCAACATCCTCTCAGTCACCTCTGCCATTGTGGTACGACCAGGCCGGGAGGGTGACTGGTGGGAGGGAGGGGCTTGCAAGGTCTTTGATAAGTCCCCACCACAGCTTGCAGGGATAAGCAGGTAGCCCCAGCATAGTATGCCATTTACCAAGTCACTCAAACTCTCTTTGCCTTGGATTTCTCATCTATAAAATGGGGGTGGTAAAAGTGTCCTCCTCACAGGGTCGTGGTGAGTTTTGAATAAGATCATTCCCAGAAAGCGCTTCGTATAATGTGCTCAGCACATGGTAAGTGTGCACCACTGTGAACTAGGATTGTTATTTTCACCAAGAAATATTCAAATTACCCTTGGACAGAATAAAGTAATATCAGAGCAGTTTGGGAGGATCCAGGAGGACTTCACAGAAGGGTTTTGATGGATGTGTAGGAGTTTACAGATGAAATTCAATACATAACCTAGGTGTGTGGCCTGCCTGGGGCTGGCAAGTAGGAAAGGAAGCAGGATGGCATTCCCTGTACAGAATGGAAAGACACATGCAAAGACGTGGAGGTGGGCATGTCTACGATCTGTTCTGGAGACCCTGAGAAAACCAGGCTGGCAGGAGTTTATCATTAGACCTGGTTTATAGCAACTGCTCAATAAAGGGTAGCCCTGTTATGACTCAGTGACAGCCCCTGTTTGATGAATATACAAATGAAGTGGCCTGGTATTCTCAGATTTATAGAGCTYTTCTTGGCCTGTCAGCAAAGGCACCTGCGACCTTGGAGGAACATTTACACATCCTGTGGGAGCTCATCCCTGCCACTCCTGGCCGGGACCTCACTAAACCTGTCTCTGTCTGAAAATAAAGCTCAGGCAGCCTGCTGGCCTCCACACCTGGTAGACAAGGCCCAAGCAAATCAGAAGGGCTCCATCAAGTGGGACAGGCTGGGCTATGCAAATGTGGCCAGTGTCCTTGGGATTACAGTTATTGTGAGGAAGGCAGAGTGGGGAGGTAATGGGCCCAGGAATGGGCTCTGGGCAGGACCACTTCTCCTTTGCCCTCATTTCCTCAGTTAATCCTCACCAATCCAGCAACATGGGCCGTTATCATCTCCATTTTACAGAGGAGGAGACCAAGACCAAGATTCACCCCTCCTGCTGATACAAAGATGCCAAACTGAATTTGAACCTTGGTGGTTCTGATACCAAAGCCTGTGTCCTTTCTGTGAGCTCATCCTGAGAGTGGGGCTTAGCACAGAGGTTGAGGCACTTAGTTCTGGTTGCACAATGAATGAAAGCCATTGCTGAATACTCATGGTACTCTGCCATTACACTGAGTGAACAGAAGGAGGAAGATTGACTGAATGGAGCCCCAAAGATCCAGAGGGCAGCTGTTGGGGTGGATAGTGCATAGGCTGTCCTGTTCTTGAGACAGAGGGTGGTTGGAAGCCTGCACAGGGAAGGATCTGCACAGTACGGAGAGCAGGGAGGGTGTTTTGTGAGCATCAGGAGCCTTCATGTCGGTGTCCACATCCTGGGCGATGAGGGAGGACAGTGGCTCAGGGTGGGGCTGAGGAGCTGAGAGCTGGGGCCAGGTCACTGAGACCCTGAAATAATTTCAAATACTATTAGGGATTTTGAATTTTACGCCATAAAGTGTCCTGGTTTGTTTCAATATATAATTTTGGTTTTAATTCCTTGCCAGTTGAGTTACTTAGTTTCTTCCAAATCTGTTCCATTTCAGGGAATTACGTCACAGGTATCCTGTGGCGTGCGTTCTCCTGGGCATGCCTCCTCACATGTGAGGCAGTGGGGAGTCATGGAAGGCTATAGGCAGGGTGTGATCACTCCAGGGCTAGACAAGGAGGAAATGGCTCTGCAGATGGAGGCAGTGAGGGCAAAGCTAAGCATAAGACAAGGAGGTGGAGGTTTGGAGAGCATCTTTGGTGACATTGGTGGCATCTTTATCCAAAAACAGTCCTCACTCCCCCTGCTGTCCTCCAGCACAGGGTCAGAACTGACTTGAACCCCCCTCCACCAGGTCATCACCTCCGGCATTGCAGCCATCGTGTTGTCCCGCTACCTCCCCAGCACCCCCCTGGTATGTGGTGCCTCCTGGGATGGGGCTGTAGGGTAGGGGGTGTGCCTGACCATCACGGAGGCCTGAGCTGCCCAGGGAGGCCAAGCCTGATGTCCACTGACCAGTGGCCTCCCCCATCCAGCGCTGGACAATGTTTAGCTCGAGTGTGGCCTGTGCTCTTCTCTCTTTGATCTGTGCCCTTGGCCTCTTGGCCTCGATCGCCGTGACCTTTGCCACCCAGGGCCGGGCCCTGCTGGCTGCCTGCACTTTTGGGAGCCCTGAACTACTGGCACTCACACCCGACTGTCCCTTCGACCCCACCCGCATTTACGTGAGTGCCTGAGCCTGGGATGGGGGCACCCAGGCCCTTGACAGGGGTGGGAATGGTTCTTGGCACACACCCGGCCATCTCTGTCCCCTGTGTCCTGCAGAGCTCTAGCCTGTGCCTCTGGGGCATCTCACTGGTGTTCTGTGTAGCGGAAAGTGTGTTTGCTGTGCGCTGCATCCAGCTGGCCCACCAGTTGCTGGAACTGAGGCCCTGGTGGGGGAAAAGCAGCCACCACATGGTAAGTCCCCTCCATACTCCTGACTTCCCATATTTTCCTGGAGTTCCTGCTAGGAAGTCCAGGCTGGTGTGTCCCACTCCTCTGTATGGGGTCTCTCCAAAGAGAGAAGTTTAAAGGCTCAGAGAGGCCAGATCTCCTACTAAGTCACACAACTGACGATATCTGGCTCTCCCAGGGCTCAGGACAAATGTTGAGGCAGGCTAAGGGGCATTTGGGCTTGAGTAGGGGATGCTCCAGGGGTCTATCCTTGCTCTTGCATGGGATGATGATGCTCCTTTGCCCTCCAGAGATCCGCCCCACCCTCCCTCCTCCATCCCTAGGGTATCCTAGAGGAGGGAACCCCAGCCTTGACCCAGTAGGCCCACCAGTGACCTGTGTCTCCACAGATGCAGGAGAGTCCAGAGTCCATGGAGGGCCATGACCTGCTGAGCTGCACCAGCTCTGTGCCCTTGACCCTCTGAGAGCAGATGCCTCGCTGGAGTCCCAGTCACTGGGGGCCTGCAACCAAGCCTGAACTGTGGCCAGTGCCCAGATGACCATCAAGGCCCAGATGGCTCCAGGATTCCCAGAGCCCACCCAAGAGGGCTCAGTGGGCCCTTGGGGACCTGGGAGGGGGCTTTCACCTCCTGCCCCGGCCACCCAGCCCATTGCACTGAAACAAGACTTTATTCTGAAGTTATTAAAAAGAACAGAGATGCTCCATGTGGCTGCATGCAGGAGGGGACAGGGGCTCAGCCAGGGGGCCTGCGCATCTTTCCCACGCAGGACATGGTGGAAGGACTCTGCCCGTGGGGGGGGGATACAGGGGGTAGATCTGTGGTCTGTGTGTCTAGCTGTGTCCATCCAAGAGCTCAAATGTAGCCAGGGTTTATGGGACCACAGCTGCAGCTGGAATCCTGGGAGGTGTTGAGTCCCTATCAAGGCTTCCAAGAACTGGGCAGGAAGGGTTGGGGCCCTCCTGCAGGGCAGAGCAACTTAAAGAATCTTCTTCCTCAAACCCCCACAACCCTGAACCCTCAACAACCCTGGAATCCTTCTCTTCCCTCCAAACAAATAGGCTCCTCACCTGGACTTGACCCCCAACTCTTCCCAGTCTGAGACCTACCAGAGGGGGAGCACTTCCCAGGTCTGGAGGGGCCTGGCCTCAGAGACATGGAGGGTGGGAGATGGTGGAGCTGTCTGGCTAAGGGCGGGCTGACTCGGAGGAGCAGACCAAGCCGGAGAAGGTATCTCTGTCATCACCAAAGGGAGCTATTTCTTGGACGGTGGAATGCTAACGGCTTGCTTACTTGGGCCCTTACTTGCAGGCTTCCCTTTTCCAGGGCCCCCCCCCCCCCACAGTGCAGACCCGGGGTGGGAGTCCCCAGTCTGGCCCCCAGCCTGGATAGACACAAAGGAGAGGAAGCTGAGAGCCGGGATGGGGCCGGTGAAGGCAGGGAGGAGAGGGGCCTGGCTCCTGTCGCTCAGAACTGGGAGGCGCTGCTGGGGTCGCACTGCAGCAGGCGCACGATGGACGGGTCGCTTTTGGCCCCGCGGATGAACTCCTCCAGGGACAGCTTGCCTGCGGGGCGAGGGGAGCTGTGAGGGGGAGAAGGCTGCGGCAAGCGAGGGGAGGTGGCGCGAGGGAGGGAAGCRGGGAGCGCCGCCCGCCCGCCCCGTCCACCCGCCCCGCTCCGCCCCTCACCGTCGTTGTTTGTGTCCATTTGGCGGAAGATTTTCTCAGTCCTCTTTTCCGGGGTCGATTCGTCCTCCGGCATCTTCATCACGGACGAAACCATTTTATAGATGGCCTGGGGGCGGGGGAGAGGCGGGGAGTGAGAAGAGCTGCGGGGCCGCCACCGCAGACACAGCCCCCGCTCGCTCCCACCGGCCGCGCAGGCTGGAGGGGGGTCACCGAGGCTGGGGCGCTCGGGATTTGGGGAAGGAAGATCTAGGAATCTTCCGGAAGAGAGGGCTATGGGAGCGGGCACTGCCGAGCTCCCTTGGAGGCCTAGGTGGGAAAGGAATTGCTGGCACCGGGAGCCGCACGAACAAAGACACCGCAGCCCGAAAGCTCCGAGAGAGCACCAAGAATTGAGGGGTGCAAGGAGTCAGGAGAGATATTAGAGAACCTGAAGGCCCAGAGGGCGAGGGGCTAGAGGGCTTAGGCGGCAGTGCCTGGGCGCAGGTTTGGGGGTAAGTACAAGGTTAGCGGGACGGCTCAGGAACCACCAGCACCCAGCAGCGGGAAGCGGACCCGGGACTCTGGGGGTGGCAGTGGGCTGCGTTGCAGTCTGTGGCCCGCAGGGGGCGCAGGACTGCGTTGAGGCAGCTGGGGCCCAGAGGGGCGGGGAAGGTTATGCAAATGAATGCAAATGAGCATCTGCCAACGGGCAGGGACAGCCTGAGCTCTGCTGGGCCGAGGGCGGCAGCTGCCACGTGCAGGAGCTCCCGAGGCGAAGCGAAGGAGGGTTTTTGTGCTCAATGTACAGAGCACAGAGTGCGCAGCCTGTGGCATGGGCTGGGTTCCTGCGACCCAGAGCTCAAGCACCCGCTGGCCGCCTCCATCTTCTAGATTGACACCTCCTCCCAGAAGCCCCCCTTCTTCTCCCATCCCATAAACTTCCCCTGCCTCAGGTTCAGCTTCTGCCTCCACGCTGCTTTTCTGGCCTCTTTCCCTGGTGTCTGACCCCACACTGCCTCTGAAAGCTCTTTCCAAACACAAATCTACACTACCATGTCCTCATTCCCCAGACCACCCCCTCCGTTCCCTCACACACACCGGCCTCTCTCCAAGACCGCGGTGCACCCTGCTCCTAGTTGCTGCCCTGCCCTCCTTCTGCTGCCTCCCACTCCTTAGGGCTCAGATTATACGATGCTTTCTTAGCGAGTCCTTCTCTGACCCAGGCTGAGTTGGGGCATAAGCGTCCCAGAGCCTCCTGGGCTTTTTCCTTTGAGGACACTTCTCGGGAAGTAATTGTTCCTTTGTTGGGTTGTTCCTAATTCCCTCCGTACAGATAAGGACCACCAGCATCTAGTTAGTACCCAGATCCTCTGGACCTAATGCAGTGCCTGACACCTGGCTGGCACTCCCCTGTTTAGAGACCATCAACACCTCCCACTGCCTTTTTTCCAAGTCCAAACCATTTGGCCTTTGGCATTCAAGACACTTCACAGCCTGCCTGCTGCCGACCTCTCTAGAAGGGTAACTCCACCACAGCTCCCAGATGAACATCCCTGAGCCTCGGAGATTCCCCAGCATAGTATGTTGCCTAGAGCAACATACTAGCTACCATTTATTAGGCAACCACTACATGCCAGGTCCCTTACATGCATTATTCCTAGACTTCACAATAGCCCTGAACGACAGGAATCATCATCTCCCTTTTCCAGAAGAGAAACCAAGGCTCGAGAARGGAATGGATGGCAGAGACCAATTGACTTGAGCCTGCCACCTCTTAGCTGCTGGGTGGATACTTGCACAGTCTGGGATGGTGACCAGCAGCAGGGCTTTGAAGTAATATCAACTCGGAAGTGGCTACTTATTTGCCGTGTAGCCTTGGACAAGGGCTTAACCTCTGTGACCCTCAGTTTCCATTTGTAAAATGGGATTAATTTTATCTCCCTCATTAGGATTGCCTAGTGGATTAAATGAGATAGAACAATCAGAAGAGTGGCTGGCTAGAGTAAGTGGTCACTAAATAGCAGCTTGCATGATAGTCATCATTCATCCACCGTGTTGCCAGGTTTTCCCCTGTCGCTCAGTCCCCTGGGATCCTAAATGTCACTTTTATACTCCTGTCACTACACTGATCCGGGTGATGTACACATTGATCTCTCCCACCAGAGTGGGATCCCTCAAGAGGAACAGTCTCTTCCCTCCCATCATGCCCATCATCTGGCACCAGGCTGAATCCTGAGGAGGACTAAACAGTGTCTTAGAGAGTAACCACTCCCTTGTGACGGCCCTCCTCCTGGGTCTCCTAATGAATTGGAGTTGCTGCTCATAGTTTCACTGGAGCCTATTTGTCATTAATTAGGCACCAGGGTTTCCAGATCTCTGTCTGCACCCCTGTCTGGGGCCTCTGAGCCGCTATAAAGGAAGCCAGGGCCTAGAAAGCAGAGGCCAGCCAGAAAGTTCTAATACACAAGTGGCATTAGCTCCAGCAGGACTCAGATTTACCAGCACAGGCTGGCGTGACCACATTAAGCAGAGCGCGAATCCCTCTGGATTGGCTGGTTTCCAGCTGATCCCTGAGTGATTCTCCACTGCCCTGTCTACTGTGATCCTTCCATCAGGAACTCCACCATACAGAAACTGGCCCAGGAGCTGGGGACATGGAAGAACTAGGTCTCCACTGGACAGCAACACCTCCCGAGGCAGCCACTCTGCTCCAGCTAGAGAGCACAGAGCCAGACCCATAGCAAGAGAAGCCAATGAGCGGGCAGATGAGTTGGGAGGGAGAATGGTTCACAGAGCTGAGGGACCCAAAGGGAGAGTGTTCAGAGATGCAGAAGGGAAGGGGACAATGGCTTGTGCAAGTCTGCGCCACAGCATTACTCCAGGCATCTCAGAGATGTTAAAAAGGCCATTTTGACTAGAGAAGAAGATATGCAGATCCAAAAAAAAAAAAAAAAATGATCGACAGTCACTAACATTTACTGAGTACTGAATATATGCAGCACCCTGTGCTAGAACCACCATCCCAATTTATCCCTGCCAGAGCCTGGGAAGCGGGGGCTTAATACCCCCCAACACACCCTTTACAGATGGAGAAAGCTGGGGGAAGTGAGCAAGGAACTGGATAGGTAAAACAGAACAGGGCCCTGACCACCTTCAGTGCTGGGCTAAGAGAGTGGGTGCCAACATGGATGAGCTAACACATAACACACTTAAATTTGTACTCAGAAAGGCTCTCGTATTAGATCCCTAAATCTTCTGAGGTCAGCATCACCATGCCCATTTTACAAATGAGCAACCTAAGAGTTAAGGCCGACACCAGAACCGAAAGCCAGATCTCCTGGCTAGGAGCCCAGATCCCACACAAAAGGCAGCTCTGAGTAGTGGCCAGCTGAGCTTGACTTCACTTATGTACTGTGGGACTTCAGGCAAAGCACTCTACCTCTCCGAGCCTCATGGGAGTATAGTGAGGATGCACTCAGCATATGGGTATAAGCACCTCACAGTACCACCGAGGACACAGTACAGGCACACCTGTAGAAGACAGCAGAGGGCCATGATTGGGCTACAGGTGTATTTTTTAGTGGGAAGTCATGTGGGAGGCAAAAAGGGGGCAGAAGCTAGGAGGAAGGAAAAGAGGTCCAAGTACTGTGCCCTTGGTGGTCCCTCTATCAATTAGTTGGAAAATGGCCAAGTATCCAGTTAGAATGTGACTGTTGGAGTCAGGTGCCCCCTCAGGCTGTGTGGCCTCCAGAAAGTGCCTTGCCCTCTCTAAGCATGTTTCCTCCCTGAGTAAATGAGGATCAATAAAATACAACTGGCCTGTACTCTACAGAAATGTCAAGTCATGAAACACAAAGAAAGGCTGAGGAACTATTCCAGACAACAGGCGACTAAAGAGACAACCAAATGCAAGGCATCTTCCTAGACCAGGGCA